GCCTCCCTCTGAGGGTGGGGTGGGGAGTCTGCTAGGACACAGGACTCCGGGAGTGGCACTGGTTTCTTCTTGTCAGGTCCTGGACTCCAGCCCAGTGCTTGGCTCCTTCCTCATTGGGTCGTGTGTCATTTTTATGACGTTTGTGGTGCTGAATCTGTTTGTCTCCGTCATCCTGGTGGCGTTCAGCGAGGAGCAAAAATGTGGTCAGGTGAGTTCCTGCGGCCTGTCCTTCGCTGACCATTGATCTCGGATGTCGAAAGATGGGCTGAGCAGTGCAAGACGAGACTTCGGGGGACTTGAGAGACCCCTGTATCTCAAAGTTCCAATTTCACAAGCGGGGAGACTGAAGCCTGGGAAAATATTATTTCCCCAAAGTCACAAGCACGTGAGGGGTGTGATGGTGCACAATTGTAAACTCAGTACTCTGGGAGGCTGAGGCAGAAGAATCCCAACCAAGTTTAAGGCCAACTTAGGAAACTTATCAAGACTCTGCTCAAAATAAAAGACAAACAGTGCAGAAGATGTAGCTCAGGGTAGAGCTCTTGCCTAAAATGCACAAGGCCCTGGGTTCCACCCTCTGCCCCACAAATACAATACAACACAACGCCATTACCCCGGGTACTCCCGGCCGCCCTCTCCCAGCAGAGATGAGCAGACTGGGTTGAACCTTCCAGCCCTCTATCACCAGGTGTTTCGGGAGCAGGCCCTAGCCTGGAGCTATCTAGGGGCTCCATCCCAAGCCCGGTCCGTTCGCATAAACCCAAGAGTGTGCCAAAAGGCTCACGGTGCCATAGCAGAAGGTGCTCCTAGTACTCCAGAGACCCTGGGGTTCAGGAGTTCCGTGAGAAGGGGGACAAACCAGATGTACCCCACATTGTGCCACAGTGCTCTTGCACTGCACTGCTGTGCTATAATGCCGTAGTTAGAACACATTTTCACCTTAGCAGGGAAGCAGGGCTCCTTGCTAGGTTAGACACAGAGGCAGTCAAGCTGTACCCTGTGCTGCAGGTTGGGGTGCAGGCAGTTAAAACACCTTCAACTGGAGCTAGTTTCTCAGAGTGGAGTCCTTCTGTGTAAAGCACACAAGACTAAACTCATGCTTATTGATACACTTTTTAACTGAAAATATAATTCACATGTCATGAAAGGTACTGTCTTTGGGTTTTTTTGTTTTGTTTTGTTTTGTTTTGTTTGGCTTTTTGAGACAGAGTCTCTCTATGCAGTTCATGCTGGCCTTGAGCTCACTTTGTAGCCCAGGCTGGTCTTGAACTCTCGAGGATCCTCCTGCCTCAGCCTCCTGAGTGTTGGGATTACAGGCATGCATCACCACACCCAGCTAAAATGAAGTGTACAATTTTTTTTATATTCAGAGTTGTGTAACTATTGCTATTATCTAACTCATAATTTCAGAACTTTTTTTTTTGAGGTACTGGGGTTAAACATAGAGCCTTAATACTGAGCTATACCCCCAAGTCCTTTTTCATTTTTTTACTTTGAGACAGGCTCTTGCTGAACTCCCCAAGTTGGTCTCAAACTTGTGATCCTCCTGCCTCAGCCTCCCTGAGTGCTGAGACAGCTGTGTGCCATCACACCCAACTCAGGCTGGGATTTTAAAGGTTGCCTGGCAAACTCAGCCAGGCTTGTCAGAGGGAAAGAGGGAGCCTGCACCCCCAGGAGCTCCAGAAGGAGGTTACCCCAACCTCAGTGACCTAAATGATGACCTTATCCAGGCCCAAGTAGGACCACACATCCATGGTTTCCCCTTAGAAAGAAAAGGTCCAAGAGGACAGTTCCAGGCGCTTGACTTGGTCCTTTCTGTCCTGCAGCTGTCAGAGGAAGCAGAAATCGTGGATTTGCTCCTGATGAAAATACTCAGTTTCCTGGGCATCCGATGCAAAAAAGAGGAGCCTCAGAGCGGCCCAGAACAGCCCAAGTCGCCCTCCACGGTTCAGTCCCCTCGGCCAGCACAAGCTTCTCCCAAGTTTTAAGCTGCCCACCCGGATCGGCTCCAGCCTGCACTTCCCGGGGAGGGGGAGCCCCTCCAGGCACCAGGGTTTGTGTCCATAGATGACCCAGCAAGTAGAAAAGTAAGAACATGTGCACCCTAAAATTGGCACTGCTTCAAGAGCTGCTTGTTCCCGTTTCCTCCTACAAATAAAGAAACTATGTGGAAAATAAATCTCTAATTATTTCATCTCTGGTTGGTCAGCGGTTGCCTTTGGATGATTCTAGTTCAGGGCTTCTCCAAGAAAAGCTAATGGGTGTCGTATTAGAGTCCTAGGCTATTGGAACAAGAATCACAAACCGGGCAGCTTAGGACCACAGAGCGCCAGGTCTGGGGCACACGCCTGTGATCCCGGCCCTGGGGAGGCTGAGGCAAAAGCATTCCCCCCAAGTGTGAGACCAGCCTAAAACCAAGAAGGTTAATGTTTCTTAGTTCTGGAGACCAGATTCTGACATCTAAGCTCTGGCAGGGCCACATCCTCACTGGGGACAAGGGGACAATCCCGGCCGCTTTCAGCAGCTGGTGTTTCCCTCAGGCCCCAGGGCTGCTCCTCTTCCGGATCTGCAGTCCTCAGCCTTTTTGGCACCTGAGCGGTTTCTGTTTCGTGGAAGACAAACCATGGACAGGGCTGAGGGGTGTGCGGGTGCTTCCCTGTGACTGAGGAGCGAGAGGGCACCCGTACCGTGCAGCTCCCGCAGCCTTGGAATCTGAAGTCCCTCTGATCGGACAGAGGTGAGCGCTGGGGAGCAGCTCTAAGGCAGCTGTAAACCTGCTGTGCGGCTGGTTTCTGACAGGCCCTGTGAGGTAGGGTAGATGAAATGAAGATAGGAAAAAGGAGACTATTAGGTCCTTCACACTGTACCCCCTCCAACTTGAAGAGAAAATCCCTGACAGACGACCGGTCTGTTCAAACAGAAAGCCCCCGCCTCAGCTGAGAGTCGAAAGCATATCTGTTTATCAGGGTGGTTCCCAGGCCTACCTACTTAGAATATCAATCCCTGATGTCCAACCCTAGGGAGGTATGTGGGTGTGTTGTTCAATCTTTTGTCTTGAGGCCTGGCCCGCAGCAGGTACGTCTCTATTTGCAAGGTACCTTGTCTTCCATATTGGCTCCTTCCAGGGCCTGGCCCAGTCTGACTGCCTACAGTATTTCTATCTAACTCAGCTGCCTACAACTTTACAATGAGAAGTTATAGATAAGCCAAAGTTAGTGATGAATGATGCTTGCTGTGTACCCTTGTTCCCCACAAACGCGGTCTGCACTGGTGGTGCTCAACTTGGCCGCACACTAGAAGCACAGGCTTCACTCCAACATATCAGAATCTCTGGCCTGGGACCCAGGTGTTAATATGTGTTAAACTTCCAGGTGAGTCCAAGGTGCAGTTGAAACAGTTCATTGTGTATAAACCCGAGTTCTTTGTCTCCCCAAATTGAAGAATAAATCTGAAGGCCTGGTGTGGTGGTGCATGCCTGTAATCCCAGCACTTGGGAGGCTGAGGCAGGAGGATCCTTGCGAGTTCGAGACCAGCCTGGGCTACAAAGTGAGCTCAAGGCCGGCCTGAACTGCACAGTGAGACCCTGTCTCAAAAAGACAAAAAAAAAAAAAAAAGAGTAAATCTGAGGGCAAAAGGAGTTCTGGACTGTTTATTGAAATAATAAGAAGCCAGATGTGGTGGTGCATGCCTATAATCCCAGCATTCAAGAGACTGAGGCAGGAGGGTTGCCAAGAGTTCGAGGCCAGACTCTGCTACATATTGCGACCCTGTCTCAAAAAACAGAACACAAAGAAAAAGAAAAAACAAAGGAAATAACAATAATGATAATGATAAACTCTTACTGGATACCCATCAAAAGGGGGAAAAAAGAAGTTCTACGGATCTCTGTCCTGACTGTACGTGCATAAGCAAAGCATGGGTGATATAAGAGAACTATAACTCCCAACCTGCTAGATGTCTGAAACAGCAAGTTCATGTTCTCTAAAATCAAGGAATCTGCCTGGCAAGCCTGAGGTCACGAGTTTGATTCCTAACACCAAAAAAAAAAAAAAAAAAATTAAAAAAATAAAATCAAGGAATGAATTCCAGGAACAAGAGTAGGAAGATTACACTGAAAGAAAGCTTCTGTCTAAGGGGAACAGAAAAGGGCCCGGAAAGTGGGTTGCCCACCAACCCCACTTCTCAAGAATGTTTATTAAGCAAAGCCACAAGGTGAGGTGGGTTTAAAGTGGGACAGAACTATAACCAATCAACAAGATTATAAGTATAGTCCCTTAATTAATATTGATCCAGGGGCTGGAGGTTTAGCCCAGCGGCACAGTGCCTGCCTGGCAAGCACAAGGTCAGGAGTTCGATTCCCGGTACCGGGAAAACAAAACAAAACAAAAAATTAATATTGATCCAATGGAAAAATCACAGGGTAGGTGTGGGTAATATTGATTAAATGGGGATTAAATGGGGAAGCAAGTGATGTAGGCTCAGCAAGTCACATGGGATGGACAGGGACTTTCCAGGAAGGGTGGGGTGGGGATAAGGAGGTTTGCCACCTTAGGTCCAATCCCTCCAAGGTGACTGATGTCTGTTTAGAATATCAATCACTGCTATTCATCCCTAGTGGAAGCGTATGTGTGAGTAGTTTCTTTTTTTCCTGAAGTTTGGCCTGCAACGAATATACCTCCAGTCATGGTGGTCTTCTGCATCAACCTCTCAAGGGCCAGCCCTGTCCAACCTCCTACAATATTTCTACCTAACTGAGCGGTCTATAATATGGGAAGGGGCTGGACTTTAAAGAGTTCAAACAGAAAACTGATTATCTTCTCTCCAGGTTGGAGATAGGAAGACACGGTTAAAGTCTAACTTAGTATATTCTGGATAAATCTTCTTCTGAGGGGGAGAGTCCTTGTCTTTTTATTCTTATCTCAAACTTTTATCCTTTGTCTTATGTTTACCTTTGCATCTCCAAGCTTGGTTTAGCTGTTTAAATTAGTTCTAAACTCTTCACGTGGGTAGGCTATTTTCTTTTGCTTTTCTTTCTTTTATCTATTTATTTATTTAGAGACAGTCTTACTAAACAGCTCAAGCTGGCCCCAAACCCACTGCATCCTATTGCCTGAGCCCCCCAAGTGCTGGGATTATAGGCAAGTGCCATAACACCCGGGTTTTTTTGCATTTCTAAATTTAATGGCAGCCGGGCAAGGTGGCTCCTGCCTGTAATCCCAGCACTCGGGAGCTGAGGCAGGAGGATTGCTGT